CATCAATACCGAGTATGCTATGCGCAGTGCTTGCTTTCGAAATAATAGTTCAAATAAAACTTAATTGATTGATTTTTATTTTTATTATTTATTATTATTGCTAATTTTCTCAGAATTACAATCATCACCCTTAACAGTGTATTAATTTGATGTTTGATGTTTTAACATTTTCACATTTTAGCGAAGGAATTTTCAAAAAGAATGAAAGGAACACGTAAATTTGAGCAAAAGGAACAGGACCGTATCTTGCCCAATCTTATTAGGGATATTAAAGAACAGTGGGATGTGTTAAGAAAGGACCATAACTTCAAAGGCAAGTGTATAAACATTTCCAGACAAAACATATCAAGGTTCATGCAAGTTAAACAAAAGAAAGTGAAGTAACATGTCAACAGAAGGTTGATTATAATCCAACAAGTGTAATGAGCAGTTTGACCTCATACCATGTTGAGCCTACATCTTAAATTGCATTCAAACCGGCGGTCACAATATACTACTATTGTTATTGCAATACATACATTTGGTGTAACATAACATTTAAATAATTGTTTTCCTTTAATTAGCTTTTTATTATGCATGTAATAACAATGTACATGTTGTTCTATATCGTATCACTAATGGTATACATTGTATTATGTTCACCTCTCTCCAGTCTCTGTCATATAGTGATGTACTCTTTGTATAGGGAAATTGTACATTCTTGATGTCGGCTGTGGACTTGGATTTCTCACCGCCGCACTTGCTAAAGAGCTGAAAGATTGCGCCATAATTGTTGGATATGATACCAATTCCGAGGTAATTATGGAGGCCAAGAAGAAAAAACCAGAACATCTTTCGAATCTATCCTACACTGATAAAGGAGATTTTATGCCAGGGCAGTTCCATATGGTTATATCCATCAATGTCCTTCATGACGTCACAAAACCTGGCGCGTTTCTACAGGATATCAACTCATGGATGCACCCCCTTGGAAGAGTCCTCATCGCTGATCCCCTGGTCAGTAACGTAAGCGAGGATAACATTCTTGACATGGTAGCCACTGTTGCGATGTCTTTCGGCTGCATTGGATGCGTGTTATCAACCGAATGTGATTGTGCCATGGGGCCAGCCATAGGAAAACAAGTCCTTAAAACATACATTGAGGAGAATGATTTTAGGATCAGAGGCCAGAAAAAACTCGGAGATAGCGGCTTCTACCACTGTTTCATTGCCGAAAAAGGAAAAGCTGACAAAGAGTTCAAATTCAATGTGAAAGACTGTAAGTAGTATCCGTATCATATCAGGTTGATGAATAAACAAAATGCTATTTATCTTTAATCTGATATAAATATCTTCCAACAGCCTTCCTATTTAAAAAACTTGCTTTGAATGAAACAATAATAAAATCGATTAGAAAGCAATCTGTTTTTCAAACCGTTATCTGAGATGCATGTAACTAGTTACAGGATTGTGAAATATTCAACCGGATGTCATATTGAAAACCAGTTTATATATTCTGTTTCATCGGAATACATTTATGGAATCAAAGTTTCAAGATACATATTGGTAACCGTACTATGGTAAAATAGACAAAATTAGAAAGCAACATAAACGTAATGACATAGTTAATGGAAATTGAAATATTGAAAATTTAGCAAACATGTCTGACCGTTTGAATTATTACCGATTAATCAAATATGAAAAACTATTTTTACGTAAATTCCAGTAGTTGATTAAATTACGGTAAACGTTTTCGGTGGTTTAAATTTTTCGCGTTTTTACTAAGAAGTTACAGTAAAATGATAATAATTTTCGCTGAGATTATGAAACAGACGAAAATCGACTTTTTTTTTAAATTGTGTTTCATGTTCCCTAAGGAACAAGACTCCAATTTGACATACTATGATCCTACATAAGATGTACATAAACATCTTTCAGGCGTATTAAAATCAGTTTTGCTTTGATTATATACTAGTTTTAAATACCTTTTACCATTTCAGTTTTAGCGAATGTATTTTATTTTTTCAAATTCAATTTTGGTTGGTTACGGTGGAATATTTCATTTCACGATGGATATGTATTTGTTTGGAGAGGTCATCGTTTAACTGTTGAATTACAGTAAATAATAGCTCTCATAAAATTAATGACCATGTGATTGAAATTCATTGATACTGATTTTGGGTTTTGGATTTTTGTTTTTTCTTTTTTTTTTTTTTTTTTTTTTTTTGTTTGTTTTTTTTTTTTTTTTTTGTTTATGGATATTTATATTTATATCAAATCAAAAGAGATGTATACAGGAGTCGCCATTGCGTCATTGTTTGTAGAATTTTCTGAATTCTTTCGATTTGATAGTTATTTTATGTAAAATATGCTTTGTCCTAACCCTACCGACCAAGTACAGTATTTTTGCTGGAAATGATAAAAAACGAAGTTATGCTAAATTTGTCAACCCCATATCTTTTGAACGTAATAATTTGTTTTATTTACATAGCGCGTCTTGCGAATACTTCATCCAGCAAATCATCTTATATTTTTCGACATTGGTACAATGAAACTGATAGTAAAATATGCTTTGTTTGTTTTTTAGTTATATTTCTGCATGAAAGTAATCATAAGGTATTTACTGATTTATTATTCTCTTCTTCTTCTTCTTCTTCTTCTTCTTCTTCTTCTTATTATTATTATATATAGTTATATAGTTTTTGTTTCCTTAAATTGTGTACCCTAATCTGAAAAACAGACGTATTATTGAATATGAAAGTCGTGCTTGTTTTACATACAAGAAAACGAAGACCTATATCTAACGAGAGATGCATGATTGTATTGCATTAAGAAACAACATGTTAAGACAAAGCATACGGTATGAATAGTATGAAAATGTATAGTTTCGAATGACACCAATCTAGCAATGTAACAAATCAGGGATATGATGCATAATTTAGAAGAGTATTCGGCGATGAGAGGAATGGGTCATTTTTGCTCTTTTAGTCAATATCCAAGTGTTTATCAGGAAGTATATGAAAACAAGCTCTGAATGTACATATATAAGTGGTAGTTTCGCTGAAATATATCTATCATTGTTCTTTTAGCAAATGAGTGATTATATGCTAGGATTTAATTGCGATAACTTTAGAACGTTTACCGTATGAAGCTTCATTTGAATTTTCTGTTATTATTTTTTTATTTGGAAAGTTACAAATTGTATACTTTTTCCTACATTATATGTGAACTTTGTTATCAATTATATTTATTTTTTCATATCTTTATCAATAAACTTTTAAGCAGTCTGTTTGCTTTCAACGTCTTATTTGTTTACAGACGCAGCTATTGTGCGTTGAAATGTCCTTAAATGAAGAAGAGATGTTACATATTTAAGTGACGTACATGTAACTTTGACTTTGTATTGAAGACATTTATCACTAGACAAACTCTTACACTAACAAAAATACACAAACATAGAATAAGAACTGGCATCTATTTTTATTTTACCCTTTAGTAACTTTTGTAGACCTAGTGAACTAATACGATATGATACAATGACTTCTACAAAATAACGAGAAACGACTACTCGTTCAGAAATTACGATTTTTATCTCATTTTATGTCTTATTTGATTACTGTTCTTATTCATAATCAGTAAAAAAGAACGTTTCAAATCATCCAAGCACACTTTTTGAAACCGACATAAACTGAATTTTTAGAATGACATGTCGTTATGACTATTGATTCCTTTTCAAAACTTGTTTTGAAAGTAAGTATTCAGTCGAACTGAATGCCTGTGCTTGTTTAATGATTTAAATCAGCTCATATGGTGTACAAAAATGACGCAAGATCATATGGAATGTGCTTAAGACAAACAAATTGTATTTTCAACCAAAATAATAAAATAAATGATGACACATCATTCCGATGAAATTTATATCTGTTTCTGATTATATAATGTATATTAACATATGTAAAATTTGCATTTACAGTATAAGTTTTTAAATAAATCGACTCTTGTAACACTTATAAACCACATAGTTGTAGTTTTCAAAATTCTCCTATTATTTCTGTGTCCTTAGATGAAAAGTCCAAAACAGCTGGTAATTTTATTTTATCAGTATTCAGTATTCTTTTTTTATTAGTTTACTTTTGGTGAGCACTGTATCGATTGTAAATTCATACAATAAGGCAATTTCGTACCCTCATTAATGTCTATCAGTTTATCGTGGGATAATACACAATGCTTATTAATTATAATATAGAGTGTTCCATTGCTTTTCAAATGTCAGCATGAACACGAAACATAAAAGGAAATATCTTCAACATGTTTACAAAACAAACAAATATAAACTTTTATGACTTTAAATATGTATCACATTCCTTTAACAACACGACACATGTAAAATCATCATATTTAAGAAAAGAAATGGTTGACATACTGGCGTGTTACTGTAAATTAAGTGATGTAAAAACATAAATATATGTACTATCTTCCAGTCATTATCTGAATATTTCTATTTCTGTAATTGTCCTTAATGCATATACATCTATACGATCTTACATGAGGTTTCATTTGATAAATAAATTCATTAATATAGGCTTAAGAATTTTAGGCGATCGACATGTTTTAAATTCGCGACGACGTTTATAAATCATATATCACACAGATATGAATTATATATCCTTTTTTATACACGATAGATTTCACAAGCAACAACTGACTGTCATGTCCGCCCTATATTTATTACTTACTTCTTATCATCTGTGAATATTTGACGTCATGTATTATTATCTAAAATGACTCCAAAATAAGCTATTATATTACAAATGTGTCAAACGCAAAAATTATGGCATATTGTATTTCTGAATAAATAGGCAATCATGTGATGAAAGACCAATATGTACAGATGCTGCATCGTTTATGTTTATTTTCATGGGTACCTTTAATACAGAAATATTTTACTTAAAATGAACAAGCAAACCTACGATCTGCTGGTTAAAGTTACTAAATGTGAAAAAGTGTCTGCAGCAGTGTTGTTAAGTGTTTGCCTTCATTTTCCACGCACTCTTCCAAATGCTTAATAAGTATACGAACGAATGAAAGCGAAAGAAAATTGCGAGTGGCACCACAATGTGAGAAAACAAAGTCCATGCTTCTATTCCATACATCTCAACCTGAATAGGATTATGTTCAGGTTCTCGCGATTGAAAAGTTTCCAGTGTCCACATTGCAAAATTGCAGAGGATAAGAAATGTTACAAACTGCCGTCCATACTTTCCTTTTTCCTGTCCTTTGTTAAAAGCTCGAAGCTTTCTTGTGGTCAGCAGGAGGACAGTTTGTATAGACGCTTGCAAGATCATAAGCACGTTTGTCATGACGTTCAGTACTCCGAGGGTTTTGTCTGTATAATGTACATCCGGCACTATATTAAACACACCAAACAAGAGAAGTCCAGTGAAAGATACCAACAGCAGACCCTCTTCAAGACCAAATTTGAGAGCGGAATAATGACGTAGTTTGTGCATCCTTTCTGCCGCTAAGAAGCTCCCAATACTGGTTAATATGTACATAGTCATTTCCGAAAGCAACATCAACACAACGGCAGTTTGTTGAAATGTTTTTAGATTGATCATAACATAAAATGCTATCATTGTTATAATAGCACTTACGGAAACAAGGATACCAATAAACAAGCCACGACTTGAGTTCGTGCAATCTACACTGATTTTGTGACGTTTTCTGTCGAGGGAAATTGTGTCGTCATCATTTTCTGCGTTTGAGTCATTTCCGGTATCCCTTGTTTGATACTCCGTTCTTTGGTGTGTGCCGATGTTTGTCCACATCACATACAGTATACCTGTTTGAAGAATGGCAAAGATGACAACTTCAAAATGAATCGATGTTTTTGAAGGCTAATTATTTGCTCAATTAGGGGAGAACATAAATCTGTATTATTGCGTTATGAAACTGACATCTCTATGAGGCATTTCATCGAAAAATGCATGAAAGAATGAAAGTAAAAGAAATTTAAAATTCCAATACTGACACTCTAAGTTCTTAAAAAAATCAGTGTTCACCATTTTTAAAATACATCACATTTTCTGATGAAATCTTGGAACTTAGTCACTGATATTGTAATATACAAATGTATTGCAATATTGGAAACAGAGAAAGACAAATTCCATCAACAGGAAAATTGTAGAGCAAATAGAATTTATATAATAGTGAATTGATCGTGATCTCCTTACCAGTACAAATAATACTGTATTCAATTGTACAAGAATAAAGGTACGGCCCAGTAGACTGAACAACACGCGACATCATATCATCCCAATAGCATGTCACTTCCGGTGGGGAACTGTGTACAGTAGAATTCAAGTTGCTCAAACCTGTAACATGCCATTGAATTATTTTGGGAATGATGCTTCACGAAGAAAGAAAATGTGATTAGCACAGTGGGTAGATAAATATGGTAAATAGGGCAAAGTTGACATACATGTATACACGTTTTTCTTTCATATACTACCCTTCTCTATAATCCTTATCTGAAACATTAAGTTCTCATGAATAGTTGTGAATAAAATTATATCTGAACAAGATAGAGGAAACATGGACGACAGGACGGACGGGCAAAAAGTTCAAATGAGTTCAACTGAGGTGGTATTGTTTTTACACAAACTGAAAACGTGTTGATGATTATAGAGTTATTTGGTGACGAAATCGGCTAGAAAATGTTTAATTGATTACTGTTAAATATTTATGTTTAGTTATACAAATTCGCATGTACAACATTATCAGTTCATACTTGTGGATTCCTGATTGTCTGTATGGTTTAAATGCTCGTCCAGTGCGGTTGGTGTGACAGTCAGATCCATGGTTTGGTGAACTCCATTCCAATGGTGTAGAACGGACAGTGATTCAAGAACGAGGCTTTGAACCCATACACAAATGTTGGTACAGGATAGATGTATCATACCAAACCTGGCAATAGTTCTGTTGTTGTGGATACATAACTGCAAAAAAAATATTATCTGTTAAATCTTCAACTACCGATTACTGTTACATCAAGAATTTTAACTGTAAAATTAACTGATATATATTTTATATACTCTTATGGTTGTCGAATAAACGCGTTAAATATTTTCCTATTTAGATATAACTATAAATATTTGCCTTGTCGCAAACAAGGAAACATTTTACAACATAACACCAATTACATCAATTTCATTATGAACACGTGTATAATACCACTAACAGATTAGTGATTATATGAAAATTTCATCGTTTCAATTGTGACTCATAGTGTGAAATATATTGTGACGTCACCAAAGAAATGAAAATGGAGCGAGAATATCGTAAATATTTTTACTATTACATATTCATATATTATTTCACAGGTTATTGTCACCATGTTCTATTGACATTACACCTATAACATACACTTTCGTTAGAACATGAAATTTATATTGAACCAAAATGGAGTGAACAAAATCATTGAAGGAATGACCGAAAATAGTGATTCGCACAAAAAAAAAAAAAAAAAAAAAATCTGAAAGTAATTTACACCAACTTCCATTTCATACAGAATTAACAAAAGCTGTTACTAATTCATTCAATGAAAATATTTTTTGAACAGTAACATTTTTCAAATGAGGTAATCTATATCTTAATGACTAGCTACCAAAGAATGCAAGATTTCCCTAAATGTAACCACAAAAATATCAGCACTATTAATTCATCTTAAAATACTTTGGAGTTGAGGAAGATAAAGTAGAGCTGGACAAATGTGAAGACGAGATGTGCGAAGGGCTTTGCCGCCTCGATAGGTTTATTACACAAGGACTGGCCATCAAACGCTTGTAAGTGCTGTCCGAAATGTAAACCACTGTCAACCATGCTTCCAACTCCAAACACTACCAAAAAGATAGAAGCAACAAATAATCAAAATCTTGTAGAGCCAAAGATGCATAGACATATTTACTAAGGCCGATGCCTTACAGAAGGCATTGATCCAGGTTGATGAAAAAATTATGTCGAACTTTCATGGTCGTCATAGTGATCTCATTGAGAAAAATATTTGTCTGTGTGACATGAAGCTGGACGTATTTTATGCACGTTAGTTTGCTTGTTGGTTCTGTTGTTGTATGCCTTAATCTTATTAAGAACATGACATTACTTCCTTGACCAAGGTTAACATGGCGGGTGTCAATGAAGCAGAACGCTTACACTTCCAGAGCACCTGGTCTCTTTCGGTAAGCTATATGTAAATCTTTATTTTGTTCAGATATTGCCCTAGTTTTATCGAATTTGAGTATGAATCATGTTTATGTTGCCATGCTGGTATTTTTTTTAATGTTTTTGTCTTGATAGAACGGTTATTAGAGATCATGTCATGTTTGTGAATACTATTCTCGCTTGGTCACCTGACCCTACATAACAAGCAGTTTAGTGAAAATGTTCAAATATGAAGTAAAGAAAATTGGGAACATTATCTGTCAGTTCACAAATGTTCGTATTCTTGGACATGTCAGATAGGTATTTTTGACTGCATGTATCACTGAAAGTCTTTGTTTTCTTCAATGGCAATAATTTAGAGTTTTCAATAACCGTTGGCTAATCCTAACGAAGCTCTGGACAACTGACGTGTTCTCATTAGTACAATGTCTCCTAATAGATCTTTTCTTTACACTCCATCCTAGTTTTATGAATTTTCAGTATGGATTAAGATTTCCTTCAAAATATGATTAAGCATTTAGCAACAGACTTCATTGTTAAGCTCTATTGTAACTTGCGCTTATTTTGTGTAAAATGGTACAATATACTTGTGTCTTTTATAAATGCATTGTCTTCCTGGAGTATTATAGAACATTAGTGATAACCTGAAGACAGCTCATTTTAATCATTTAGAGTAAGATAAAATAGAGCCACAGAAGGAAAAAAACTACATCATGCAGCTAAATCGTACAGCTGTTTCGTCCTTCTAGGACTCGTTAGTTATGCTACATCATACAGCTGTTTCGTCCTTCTAGGACTCGTCAGTGATGCTACATCATACAGCTGTTTCGTCCTTCTAGGACTCGTCAGTGATGCTACATCATCCAGATGTTTCGTCCTTCTAGGACTCGTCAGTAATGCTACATCATACAGCTGTTTCGTCCTTCTAGGACTCGTCAGTAATGCTACATCATAAGCTGTTTCGTCCTTCTAGGACTCGTCAATGATGGCAAGCTTTGGGTTTTGTTCCGTCTCCGACATATACCAAAGCCTTGAGAACAGGAGTTATACTTCTTACTTAGTTACCGTATTATGGTAATGTAACGGCAACATTACACATTGTCAGTGTAATGTGACCGAGCGGATGCCCTCTAAAGAAAACACCAGTTTGATCTCACTGTAAAGTCGACTTCCTCATCAGAAAGCCTTTCTTAGACGACCCTAGCTTTTGAACTCCATTTAACATCTAATGTCATAGTGGTGCAAATATGGAATGCCAAAACGAAATTTGTAATAATTCATTACATCATTTACTTACAGACCGCGCCCAGCCGTATGTAGAAACTTCCTGTGCAGTTCGGGTAGTTGATAGACTGGTATATAATGGCATGTCCATGCTTTCTTTGATCAGAGACGAAAGTAGGGGGAGTCTTGGAAGATGATAGTCTCCGTGATAGTGCTTTTGCAATGTCCCTTACTCCAAGATGCTTTTTCCGCATCATAAAGATGTAAACGTAGAGGATGAAGAGGATTCCCATCACGTACAGATATATATAGAATGCCTGAAAACCAATTCCAATATGTATCAATCTAAAACACATAAAATGAGTTATCTTAATATATAGATTAACAGAAAACTTTTATTGTATTATTTGAAATCAGAAAGGCAACATGCTTACAACAATCTGGATTATGCAATCTGTATTTCTAAAATTTTGGTCGTCGCAATTATTTTTATATAGTTGGACATTATGGATCCATTTATATTATGATTATATTTGTATTTCATATAACTTGTTCGAACATTACATGCATGCAGTGCTCTTAGATATAAACTTGATTTGATACAGATATAACAGAAACTATATTCTGTAGCGGTTCAATCTTTTAGGAGGATTCTTATAGCATTGCCTGTAGATATAAAACGCATTATCAAAATCAATCTACAACTTATATCAGTTTTAAAGTAGACGAAAATCCATGCCTATGAATAAACAACTAGTTCCTATCATAGCAGGTGTTCTTTCGCTCCATTGTATTGTCTGCTATCTGCATAGATCAGACCCAGTAACATGAAAACAATCTACCGTTGCAGATGCAAATTCACTGCATAATTATTTCAATAAATCATTTAATCTCAAGTGTTTTAAGACATTATATTTTCACTTGTACATCATCAGAACGGTGTAAACTTGCCAAAGTCGATTTTGTAATAAAGGTTCATGAATTACGAAAGGCTTAGGAAAATTGCAAGTAATGCATACAGAACTGATACTGAATCTCCTAATCATTATCATGTTGTTTTAGACCTGACGTGATATACAATTTATCGTACATATGTACCAACCTCGAACACAAACGGAAGTGAGGGATCTGCAAACGTTTCGGCCATTGGAATCACAATCCCTATTGCAACCAGAAATATGCCATATATCCCGCTCATACAGATAGACAAGTGTTCCCTGAAACATCGACATGTAATTAAGGAATCTATGTAAATACCGGATCTACGTTCAAGGGAAATCAAATAATTAAAGAATTGTATCCTCCATGAATTTCATTGTTTAATATCTTACTCACTGAAGGTTTTTCTCATACATCTCTGTATCTTCCTCTGAGTTGGTTTGGTTGATGAAGACGTCATCTTGGTCGCCATCTTGAATATCCATTTCGTCTCCTTGACCCAGCCAAGATAATGATATAATGTTATTGGAGAAGAATATTGACAGAAATCAAATATGTAAAGGACGTAAAACTTATCTGTTTTTGTAAATCTTAAGCAAAACTTAATTTCACGCATCAAAAAACAAATGATATACAAAACGATAATGTCACATTTCTTTATGACTCAAAACTGAAAAATCTGGACAACATCTGATTGAATAAAAACTATCTAAACGGTGATACCTGCAACAAAACAAGAGCAATAACACACTTTCATTTTACCTAATTTGACTCCAGTCAAGATAGCTCCTGTCAAATGGTAAATTCATTGCAAAATAGAGGCGGTTTTAAGTCACAACCAACACAATAAAACGTCACGTTATACAGGTGATCTGTTACCAGATAACTTTGAAATCTCTTCTGTGAACAAAGACTTGCCGGATGGTTTATTAATATTTATCTGTCCAATCGAATGTGCGAAACATATAAAACTAAAAAAAGCAGCTTTAAAAACAAAATTAGCATCAGATACAATTGATTTACACCATAAGCATTGATAACAACGATGTAAAAAATATTGCGATACTTACCTTTGTGCCGTGAAGTCATCATTGACGTTGGAAGCCCTTCCTTTTCGTTGGCATCGAAATAGTTTTCTCCCAAGCTGTCACTGGAGTAGTGGTACGCGTTGTCTAACTCATTCAGTACTTTCAATGATTCCCTCTGTTTACTAGCGTATTTCCCTCCCCAGGTTGTCCTCTTTGTTCTATCGAATTCATTCCCAGCTTTCCTGCTATAACTGTGCCCTATCGTCAGCCACCCCGACAGTCTTCTATCGTCAGTAGAAGGAGTTACACCGTTGCCATGGTGCAAGTGAATATTTCGTTCTAAAGATGTTGTTCCAGACAGAACTTTAAACTGATCACCAATCATATAAGACTCTCTGTTGATTCCATCCATTTCCGAATGTCGTCTTTGTAATTTCTTAACGTTATTTTGCTTTGGAAGTGTGTCTGTTTTAACTTGTTCTGTTTTAATGAGCAAATCGTCGTTGAAAGATTTCGCCATATCTGCTTTCTCTGCTTCATTGTCACTAGGTCCAGTAGAACTATTTAAGGACCCATTGGTCTTAATATGATACGGTCGTCCGAAAGATGGAGATTTGGGCACAACAGTCTGCTTGGGATCTTCACTGTCAATAGATTTGATATCCCGAAACATATCTTCAGACGACACAGTGGAAAGCGTTTCATGTTCTGTTGCATTCGATATTGATGTTATGTTTAGGACATCCTTATTTTTTTCATTGTTAGAACTTCTTACATTTGGGACTGGTCTAATTTTCGGAACAACTTTTTGTTCATTTGTCATGACCGGAACACCTCTATTGTTTTCACTCTTCAAAGCTCCTGTCGCATTTTCCATCCTCGGTACACCTTTATCATTTACAATTTTCAAAGCTCCACTCGCATTTTCCATCCTCGGTACACCTTTATCGTTTACAATTTTCGAAGCCCCTGTCGCATTTTCCATCCTCGGTACACCTTTATCGTTTACAATTTTCGAAGCCCCTGTTGCATTTTCCGTCCTCGGTACACCTTTATCGTTTACAATTTTCGAAGCTCCTGTCGCATTTTCCATCCTCGGTACACCTTTATCGTTTACAATTTTCGAAGCCCCTGTTGCATTTTCCGTCCTCGGTACACCTTTATCGTTTACAATTTTCGAAGCCCCTGTTGCATTTTCCGTCCTCGGTACACCTTTATCGTTTACAATTTTCGAAGCCCCAGTTGCAGTCAAAGCGCCAGCTGCATTTCCCATCCTCGGTCCTCCTTTGTCTTTTTCACTGTCCGGGAGGCTTTCCACTTTCGCCTGCCCTTCAGTATCAATGCTTCCCATATCAAAGTCAGAGTTGATGATTTTTTGTAGATATGAGCTGGACTGGGCGTTTATAGTGGACGTGGTCATCGGTGGTGATCTCTCTATCTACCTGAAACACATTCACTAACAAAGTTGTTAATGCTCTTCCTATGAGTTTCTTCCGATATATTGAAACAAGTCAAAACACGTGCAGTTCATGTCGGCTTGACTTACAGATTGTACAACTGTCATCTCAATACACAATAAAACTCAATTATATCAATCATGCAGCCGTGATCAATATACAAGGCAATTAAGCAAAATATCTATTCAAACACAAAATCACCGAAATAGAGGCATATTATGAACAAATGAAAAATTGACATAGAAATCCTTAAAAATCTACTAGAAGAATAATATCATATACTCCTGAAAGTGCCAGGTACATTTTGGCCATCAAAATGAATAATTACATGTTCCCAAATGAATACACGGTCAAAAGCAACGGATATACTAGGCATACTAATAAGAAGAAACGATTTTCACGAGAATGCGTTCAATATTGCAGCAAATCTCCTTAGAATTCTTTAAAATCCACATATATTTAATTTAACTTTTATAGAAAAGAGTATCTAATAGTATAAGACTGTTACCCTGATTTGATAGTACTAAGGTAAATAAGAAGTTTTGGTTTTGCTTTGGTTTAACAACTATGCGTGCCAATATTCCGATAAAAAAAATTCAGAAAAAGTTTTTGTCTGTACAAACTGAAACGTTTAACAGGCAATCAGCTGGCTCTACAAATGTAGTTCATAACAACTTTTAAGTGCTTGCCAGGGTTAAACTACAACCAGCTCAAAAATTGTCGCCATGACGCTGCAATATACACGTGATACATATGCTTAATTGCCCTATGTAGTCTTATGAATATTCAGTTTTTGCTCATGTCCTAGATGACAATGGAAACTTCTATACAATAGTCTTGTGGTATAACGTAACACAGAAAAAAAAAGAAACTGATACATGAATCACTGTTACGTTGTCAGTGGATAGTTCTGATTACACAGACGTATGTTTCAGACACGACAAAGAAGAGGATTAAAACTGACTTGAAAAAGAGGTCAATTTGGGTCAATAAGTCTATGGTACTCCTGTATCTGTTTAAATAACGTAAACTTCTTCCGTTTTTTTTTTTTTTTTTGTTTGTTTTACTTTTCAACAATTGTGAAAGATACTTTAAGCACTATTTAGCGCGGATGGGGGTGCGCAAGGAGTCCTATTGCGGGAGGAGACCGGAGGACCCTTGGGACTCCTTGTTGAATGGCGAATGTGTTACCAATGCCCCACCCGACCACCCTTTTTCGAGATTCTTCATGGTTTTTTTTCAATGCACACGCAATTGAAATATATTGTGTTGTATTTTACAGTGATCGTCGAACTAACCAAAACTTTAAAAATTGCAGTTTTTACTTTTTGACTGTTTACTTAGCTTTTACACCTAATTAGGTGATGACTATATACGTCTTATTCTCTACTGAAGTTTAAAGTTCGACTATTCTTAATGTCTTATTCCTTCGAATATTATAAAACACATCTTGTAGTTAAAATTGTAAACAGTGTTACTAATTAAGAAACAGGCCCTGGATAATTTGCCATATCAATAAGTACGAATTGCATGTGGTTGTGCTGACGATGGTATTCCGTTACAGCCCTGCAGCATTGATGATGACGGCGAGTTAGGAGAAAGTTGTGAAGCTGTGCTAAGAAGTTTTTTTGTTAGAGTTTAAAATTCAACCCATTTGGTTGATAAAATCCACCCGTAACATGAAGAAGAAATATGTTAAAGTTGAAAAACTAAAGCTTGCCAAATTAACAATGTCCTTTAATATGTTAGACAACAATATTTTTTAAAAAGTGTTCTTACATTCTCATAGGAAATCTTTCATTTGTGTATCGCATGAGTAAGCTTCAACATAACGACTCGGCGGACTGTTATTTGACATTTAGCGGTAAACTATCTACTATTTGTGACGTCAAAGTTGGACTTTTTAAAGGAAAATGATTGTTTCCATGCTTTTTCTTTATTGGTGATATGGGGCTGAGTTTATCGATTCAAATCGACAACATTATCCGTTACAGTAGACTAAACTTCACTATTAATATGCTGCCAAACTTGTGGTTTTTGGTGATGGCGTTTTTATCTTGGATTTGTGTTTTATCTTTACAGAACATTTACCGTATTTAAGATATGTAAGATTGTAGGGCAGCGGAAGTTTTTGTTCAGTAGGAAAATCGAAACATACATACATGTTAAATCGTGAAAGGAATATTCCCCAAAAGAAAAACGGCATTTGTCTCCCTTGAAAACTTTTGTTCGGATTTGTGAATAAGCCCATGACCTGAGCTTGGACATTTCTTTGTAAAATCAGACGAGAATTTGTTTTCATCAAATATGACCAGGTAGTGTAAAGCAATGGAAAAATGGGACATATGTTTCAAATATTTTACAAAAAAAAAGCACATTTTAATACAAATGCCAAATAATGGATTAAACTGCATCATACAGCTGTTTTGTCCTTTTAGGACTCGTCAGTGATGTTAAGGACCTAAATTTGGAAACCTGTTTGAATAAAAAAAGTCAAAATCTAGATAGGGAGGGGTTCTATCACAAGAATGCAAGTAATTTCTTTATTTCTATATAGAGGTATCTGGTAATTTCAAAAGAACATCAAATCAAATTGCAATGAGCTAAATAAATTTAGTATGATAATATCCGAGTGTAAAATGAAAAAAAATCCAAAAAATAAAAAAAAATAAATAAAAAATAAAACCGAGTATAAGTGCATATGCGCTGAAAATTGAAATTATGGGGCGCTAAGGTACATGTAGGCCTAAAATCATCGAAGGTCGTGTAAAGTGTATATTAAAATTTAAGTGGACAATGAAACTCATTTTATATTATCAAATAAATATTATTCTATTGGTTTTCAACTAATGCATGAAAAAAATCACCATTGAATGTGCGATTTCCTCTTGATAAACGCCACATAAAAAGCGCGCGTGATTCTAATTATAGTTAAGTTTACAATTCCGCTTTTTTACGATACAATGATTAGATGTTGATGCGCGTTCATGCATGAGTGAT